AGACCTGGCTCCATCCCTGATTCGCATCAGGGAGGCTTGCGTAGGTTTGCAAAGAACAGTGAGCAGCACAGTTCTTCCTAGTGATGCGTCGTGGGTACCTTATGCCACTATGGTCACTGGTCCACCCGCCAAGCCAAACAGCTATCCATCAAATATTCTCGATCCGCGCAGGTCACGCTCGATCGGTTTGCGTTCGGTGGCGAAGCCGACTAGAACTGCTTCGTGCTACTAGTCGCAGCCCGTTTTGGCCCGCGGCGGACCGCCGTGCTGCGGCCTCCCAGCCGGCTTAGAGCTGGAGTCCGCGACGGTTGCCGTCGTTGCCATTGGCGCTCGGCCCCGGCCCAGTGCGGCGCCAGGGAGCGCGAGCAAGGCGTTTGTTGCGGCACCTCTGCCGCGCCGGCCGCCGCCCCCAGCGCCGACGCCGCCGGTTGAGAGCCGGCTTGCAGCTGTGCTGGCTCGCCGGCCCAGCGCGATCGAGCGCCACTGGTCGCGGAGAGTCTTCGGATCTTTTGCGCCGAAGTGCCCGCGCTCAGCTGGACGCGCGGCCGCTGAGACTTCGATCGGCCCGACCAGGCCGAGAGGGCCACGGCCCCCCCGAGGCAGCGGGCGCGCGCGCAGCAGGAGCATAGCATCCTGACAGGCAGGTTAGCGCAGGACCAAGAGCTTCGGGATGCTGGCGCGCCTTTGGAGGAGAAGCATCGCGGCGTCTTGCGCCGGCGAGATTTGGATCTTCGCGGACGCTGGACGTCAGCTCGCCCGCTCCGGGACCGCGAGAGACCTGGGCGACAACGCGCCCAGATCAGGCTGGAGGACGCAGAGAGGGCCCGTCGGGAGAGAGCCATGACTTCTGAGAGGGCACCCAGGTCGCCCGCCTCGCCTGCCGAGGCAGCCCCTCTTCTTCCAGTTGGGGGGGCGGGGCTAAGCCAGGCTCTTCGCGGGCCGATGCGTCTCCGGCTCCATTCTCTGACTGTGGCCTTGCAGAGCTTAGCTGCGACGGCAACGACGAGGGGGGGGGGGGGGGGCGAGATCGAGTCCGAAGATAACGCGCGAATCACAAAACTTCCGACTGGGAGGCGAAAGATTGGCTCGGCGACTTCTCGAAGACCAGACCGCCTCGAACTGAGACTCTCCGCGGACCGCAACCCAGCGCGCAGGCCCCCAGGCCAGGCCAGGCCAGACGCGGGAAGCGATCTGACAACCGGGAGGGCAAGAGGAAATTCATAGTTGAAGCGAAGAAGATCGCGAAGATTGCCAATTGCTGAACGAGGCCTCATTTTTCTAGTTGTTTCTCTTATTCGAATAGTAACTAAAGGAAGAATCGCGAGGTTGTCAACCGTGCAGCTTCCACCATTTAGTTGCCTCAGCTTCCTCTCTTCTTGCCTCGTCTCTCCTGGCCCCCCGCCCTGCGCGCTTGCGCCTTCTGCCGCTTGGGGCCCGTCAGGCCAGGGCGCCCTCGGAGAGGCAAAATATGTTTTTCGATCCCGTTCCGATCCGATACGATTCAAATATTGCCTTCGACCAAGCTTCGAGAGTTAGCCTGTTGACCCGCCCGACTTCCTCTTGCGCCAGCGCCTCGACCATCGCAGGGAAAACCGTTGGCGCGGGCGGCCCGAGCTCGCGTGGTTCATTGAGAGTTGCCGCGGCCTGTGCGCCCGCTTTTGCTTCGGCTTACTTGCCCACGTCCTTGGTCGCCTTTGCCTCGTCCTTGAGGCGGGTGATGTTCGTCCTCATTTGCTGGGCCCCCGAGGCGAAGGCGCGGTTCTCTTCCTGCGTCGCCGTCGCCACGTTGTGCCCCTCCTCCGCTATCGCCGTCTTCGTCATCATGCCCCGCAAGGCGCGGCCGCGCTGGGTGAGCTGAGTCACATGGGTCGCCGGCAAGAGTGAAGTTCGCGCAAGCCGTTGCCCTTGGTCGTCAGCTTCCGCTCCTCTTCGCCTCCGCGGCGTCGTCCGCCGCCTTTCCTCATGGCCTTTGCCCTGGCCGCTGCCCCCTCGCTGCCCGCGGTGCCGCGAGCGACTCCGCCCCCCCTCCTCGTCTTCTGCTTGCGGTCGTCGGCGTGCTTGGACTCTTGACCTCCAGTCGCTGGCTGCTGAGAGGAGCCCCCCGTCATTTTGGGAGCGCGCCAGTTCCTTCTGGTCGTCTCTACCTCCAAGTCCATCACGTAGTCGTCATAGATCCTCACCAGACTCGATCAACCCAAGCCGCGACCCACCCAGGCCGCGTGCGGACCGCCTTGCCACGAACACGAGGGGCCCAGCGCGGCTTGTGGGGCTGGCGGGGGGGGGGGGGCGAGGCTCCGCAACCGCAATCGACGCACCTTCCTGCGTCGGCAGCAGGCGGGAGAAACGGTGGCGTCGGACATACCACACAACTGTACTCATGCGGGTCCCAGAACGTAAATGGATATGCCGTGTTGTCACGAATCCAGTGCCCAACATGCCACGCCCGTGCCAATGGTCGTACAGTTTCCGTGCAATTCGGGTATGTGGTGCCGCAGTTGATGCACGCGTTCGTAGGTGTGAGAAGGTGAACGCGTTATGTCCTTCGTGTCCCTCCTCTTGCCTTGGCTTTGTGTGACGTGCGCTATCAATGCATTTCGTGTCCCGAACGACGTTCCACAACGCGTACCGTCCGCCACCGCGACGGTGCACGTGTCATACGGAGCCGCGTATCGCCACGGATTGCACGGGTTACTCGTGAGATATTGCGGTCGTCCCCTCCCTCATGCCCCTCCTTTTTCTAAAAAAACGTGGCATACGGAGATGGGTTTACCCACGTTTCTTCGCCGCCGAGCTCCGCAGGTACAGAGACCGCCAACGACGCAGGAGGCTTCCACGCAGTCGCCGTGAAGGCCGTCCGCAAGGAGCGCGGATCGAAAGCCAGGAAATAGCTCAGCCTCGGGGTGGTCCAATTCAATCTGCAGATCACGCTTGAAGTGTGCCAGCCACGGGTGCACGCCAGGTTTATCATCTACCTCGCCCCATGGAGCAAGTGCCGCTGGGCACGAATACTCTGCCTCAAGTTCCCACTTCATGAAGCGTTCCAAAAACGGCCTCGTCTTCGAGGATAGAAGGAGTTGTCATCTCTTCCGCGGCGGAAGGCGGCGGAAGGTCGGCGGAAGGCGGCGGAAGTAAAACGAGGCCGCCTCCGCCGGCGGAAGCTCGGCGGAATGCGGCGGAAGTAAAAGGTGCGCCCCCAAGAGATGTCCCAGGTGCTTCAGCTCGTAGCCCGCCTCACAGCCCGAGCCCACGGGGGTAGTGATAGCTTGTCGCGTCAGTTGACGGGCTCGAAGCGGAGCGCAGGTGCGGCATCCTGCTTCGTTCTGTTCTGCCAATGCGCAAGTGCCGCCAACGCCTGATCCAGGTGCGTGTCAGTTCCCTTTGATGCCGCTGCGATGTCTGCCGCACCAATCATATTTATCGGGAAGAGAATCGCCTTGGAGATATCGGCCATGAAATTGCTCATACTCGCGCCCGCAGGTGCGAAGCACCCAATGGGAGTGACCGTGCTCTCGTTGTTCTGCCTCCTCTCGAGCGCCGCTCAGGCACAAACAGCACGATGGTAGCTCTGCAAGAATATGCCTGGCTCCGACGTGTCGCCCATGAATCCCTGGCTTCCACTTCGAACTTCAAGTCGCTCATTCGCTGCGCCGAGGATGACTGTGAGCATCTTGCGATGTGAACGTGTGATGCGAGTGGCGAAGTGGAGGTAATTTTCTGCAACATCCTTGTCATCGGCAGGCGATCATGCAGTCCTTGTTCCAGTTGAGATTTGTCGCCGCAAGCGAAGGCGTGCGTCGCGTCGTCGCTCTTTTGCAGCATCGGCTGGCCACTGTGGGCGCCCTTCTATGCCAGTCTTCGTCGCGATCATCAGGTGCTCTCGCCTCCGATCTCTGCGCGCAGACGCCCGCGTCCTGCCTGTAGGGGCCTCCACGGTCTAGCTGGCCCCGGACATATGGTCTCCATCACGGGCACATCCCATGATGCAGTCGTCGTCCCGCAGGTCCAGGCTTGTCATTCTTCTGATCTGGCGCGAACCCATCATCTGATAGGGAGGCCTGGACGGCGAGCTCCACGGCGCGGCTCACATGCATGGCCAATATGAATAATCGGTATGCCGCATCACCATGTTTGCCCAAGTGGTGGGGTTGGTTCTTCTTGTGCGGTCAGGGGCCGTCGGATTCTCGCTCCAAATAGCTTCAAGTCGGGCCCCCTGTCTTACGGGTTTTTCCCAGTACTCGTTGGGGATGCTTATCCACGTTGGGCCGAGAAGCATCTTAAAGACCTACGCGGGGGCCGACCACACCGGTGAGAAACGACCAAGTTTTGACGGGTGGCCTTCGCCGTCATCGCGAAGTTTTGTTGTGTTTTCTTACGTATCTCGGCGGTGGCGTCGTTCTTGTCGGGACGCGCGCATTCATCAATGTTCCTCAGCTGCTCATGGTGCTCGCGCGAGACCGCGGAGCGGCGGCAGCTCCAAGACCTTCGCCCACGCTGCTGCCGACGGCGAGAAGGACGGGCTGGCGCGGTAGCTCCTGACAGGGAATGGGCATCGGCATCAAGAACAGGAGCCTCCTGTTCTTGATGCCGATGCCCATTCCTGGCAGGGCCTTCGAGAGCCGAGGGACAGCCGCCATGTCGCTAGATCGCAATACTAGCGCCAGCTCCCGCTCGGTAATCTCCTTCCTTTCCTGGAAGAAGCGACGGCAGTGAGACTTCAGCACCTTCGAGTGCGCTTTGATCGTCAGGGTGAGCGTCGCCGTCTCAGACGTGGTGGTTGCGTTCTCCGCAAAGTCCTGCGCCGTCACCTGCCTGGGCATCTGCCTCTGCGCCTTCAGCATTTTCCACTTCTCCTGGTCCATCCGCTTCAGCTGGGCATTCCCCACCTCCGCTTGGGAAAAGTGGCGGACGCCGACGCTGCGGATCGTGGTCATCCGCAGGGCCGTGTGCCCCGTGGTCACCTCGCGACACTCCAGGATCTCAAACGACTGGCGATGTGTCTCCTACAGCTCCTGGATCTCCGACAAGAAGGCCTCCCGCCCGACGCCCGTGAGGGCCGCCTTGCTCAGCTTAGCACGGACCCGGCGCTCCTTCCGTGGCGTGAGGACCAGCGGCGGCATTATCTTAATTTTTAGCACGACGGGGGTGTGATCCAGGACTGCAGGCATGGAACGGTCCTCCTGGGCAGACCTCTCCCATGTCTTGGCCCGCCTAACAAGCGGGCGGGCGCCCGCAGGGATGCGCGCGTAGTCGATCTGGCTGGCCCTGTTCGAGGCCTCGAACGCGTTGCCGCAGGGGAATAAAAGGTGTTGATCGCCACCGGCCCGACAGAGTCGAGCCACTCGTGGACTGCCGCCCCGCACGCGTTCTCATTCTCTGCCCCGTGCGGCCCCGCCGCCTCCGAGTCCACCTCAGGACAGGGCCCTGAGTTGAGATCCATGCAGACCACGGGCGTGAAGCGCTGCGGGATCTTAAGGTACTCCGGTTTGGCCCACTTCAGCAGCTGCTCGCACGCGTCCCTGTAGACGTTGAAATTGCCCTCTCGATTCGGCTTCGGCGGAAAAGAGAGTACCATCATCGCGATCATCACGTGGCCCGAGCTGAAGTACACCAAGCCTCAGCGCCCGCTGAGACCAGCTGGCGGCGTAATTATTATCCGAATTGCTTTCTTCGCGAGCCAGGTCTTGTTGACCATCGCTGCGCGGCCACGGTCCTTCGTGACGAGGCGGCCGCGCTCCCACCCGAACAGGATCGTTTGGTGGCTGATGGCGCTGGCGGCGTGGTGCAGCTCTCCTTGCTACGCTCGAGCTCCCGTGCCAGGTCGCCCAATCATTTCATCACTTCTGAGCTGAGAAGAAACTGCGTCCAGTCTGTGCGAGCTCCCCAACGCATGGGGGTTCCAGAGGCCGTGGAAGCTCCGCCGCTCGCTCTGCGCATTGCTTAGGGCCAACTGCAGCGCGAAGAGGAGCACAATCCTGATCATGCCCACCAGGCCGCCCGAGCCACAGCGTGCCCGCCTCCCCTCCCCAACAGCCAGGGGGCGGCACTCCGGCAATCAGCGCCCGCGCCAGGCCACGGCTGCCCCCATCGCGACGGGGCGTTCCTCGGGGAGGCCGCCTCTGGATGGGGTGGCCTCGGCCGCGTCGGCGGCTGGAGGAGGAGGAGGAAAAGGAGGAGGACCAGTGCAAACCCAAGCTCCCTCTTCATAGGCCCCTACAACGGCTCATTTCCATTGAGGGAACTGCCTCGTTGGGAGACAACCGTTTGAAGACCCTGAAACATACCAAAACATTGTTCTCGGGATTCCAGCGCCACGGATCAACCTGACTGCTGCGTATTGACGATCCTGAATCTTGCCAGAAAGCCGTTCTTGGGACTTCAATTCCGCGAATCAGCGTAGCTGTTGTGCCCGCATGCTCCTGAATCCTTCCAACACACCTTTTCTGGTATCTTGATCATGGAAATCCGCGGAACTATAGCAAATTCTATAAACGAATGTGCACAGAGCTTAGCGAAGGCCACAGTTTGAAAAGGAACCGCCCTCAATCTGTGGAGCTCGTTCAAGTTGTTAAACACGAATGCGCGCGGCGTTAAGGCGAAAACTATATTTTGAAAACGGCTCGCCTTAATACGGGAAGCTCGTGCATATCTTCAAAACGAAGGTGCGCGGCGCTAAGGCGAGAGCCACATTTTGGAAACGGGTTGCCCTCACTCCGTAACATTTTTGCAAATGTTTAAAACGAATGTGCGCGGCTCTGAGGCGAGAGCCACATGTTGAAAACCACCCGCCCTCCATTTGTAAAGCTGCTGCCACTGTTAAAGCTTCAGAGTCATAAATGGTGAGGACGTCTCAGGCGAAACGCCCAGCACGCCCTAAAAGCTGGCCTTGGGGTGCGACAGGGGATACGTTATTTGTAAGGAAAAGGAGTGGAGGAGGAGGTGGAGGAGGAGGAGGTGGAGGAGGAGGAGGAAAACAAAGGAAAAGGATACGTGGGGAGGAGGAGGACGAGGAGGAGGAGAAGGAGGAGGAGGGACAGAAGGAGGATGAGGAGGAGCAAGAGGACCAGCGTAAACCGTAAACTCAATACACATCACCGATGTTGCAATCAACCCTCCTTCCAAACTCCTTCATAATAGGCACCCGACAAGAATTTATTCATTGCTGGAACTGCCCCGTTGGAAGACAGTTGTCTCATAATCACCACTCATGCCCACACACCATTCCCGGGACGTCAACGCTGCGAAATTACGTGGCTGTTGCGTCCTCGCGATCCTGAATTGAGACAGAACGCCATTTCTTGGATTTCAACATCTGTTCGAAGATCCTTGTGAGCAGAACCTCCCGCAAAGAGGAGTGTTCGAATATCCTTGTGTATAGCACTGTGTACATTGTTTGTCTTATGTCCGCACCCGTACCATAGCATTCTGGGCTCAGCAGGCGTAGCTAGAACAGTCCCCATCAACATCGCGAGTCTACATGGCTCATGCTCCTTGGCGATCCCTAGTCGTGCTGGAACAACTCCTGCGGCGTCAAGCATGCACATGTTCGAACGTGATGGAAACTTGTAAACACAATGCGCGCGACGCTGAAGCGAAAACCACATTTTGAAAACCACCCGCCCTCCGTTTGTGAGACCCTTGCGTACTTTGAAACGACATGAGCGAGGCGCTAAGGCGAGAGTCACGTTTTGAAAATCACCCGCCCTCCACCCGTGAAGTTGTTCCAGACTTTTCAGACGAACGCGCGCGGCGTTAAGGCGAGAACCATATTTGAAAACCACCCGCACTCCATCCGTGAAGCTCCTGCAAACCTTTAAGACGAATGTGCGCTTTGCTAAATCGAGAGCCTCATGTTGAACACCACCCGCCCTCCATGCGTGAGAGATTCTTGCGGTTTGTTAAGATGAATGCGCGCGGCTCTAAGGCGAGCCACGTTTTGAAAACCACCCGCCCACCATCAGAGAACTCAAGCTGTTTTGGCTCGAACTCTTTTCAGGAGATTTCGGCCACTTGCCCTGGCTGTACCATTTGTTGTGCTAGCTCGAGAGCCGCCCATCGGCGGTTAACGAGGGTCAGATCACTTCCAAAGGCTACGTTCCATGGCCCCCAGCAAGGACCTGCTTCCGCGCTGGACCTGTCAGAGTTGTGGTTGCAAGCGTAACTTGGGGCGCTGGCGGCATTGCAAGCATTGTCACGGCCCTCGCCGCGATGTCTCGCCCGTTGAAGGTGGCCAGGCCCCTCGTGGGCAGTGGGCTTGGGGCGCTCCAGGCTCGCCTTCGGACCACCACCGCCACTGGGGCCAGCAGACGGAGCGCGGCGGGAATGGCCACGACTGGAGCGGCAGCTGGGGGGGAGCTGGGTGGAAAGGCTACGTGCCCCCTCCGCCATTGCCGTTGTCTGGTGGCCCTCCTGGTGCTGCGCCTCCCCCTCCTGGCGGCGCGCTGCCAGTCCGTCCAGGGCCGCAGTTCATGTCCTCCAACGCCCCGACGCTGCTGCCCAAGCTCGCCGCCACTGTGTCCCTCGGCGATATCCAGCAGACTATCGAGGCACTCAACAAGATCGGCGACGCCGACGGGGCCAAGGGCTACCAGATGGTGCTGGAGCAAAGGAAGGCTCAGGCGGCCAGCGCCGCCCAGGAGCCGACGCTCCAGCAGCACGTTTCCAACGCCTTCAACTCAGTCCGCAGTTCGGAGGCGAAGCTCCCCAAAGCGGCCCCGCATCACCAGCGACTTCAATCGCAGCTTCAGTCACAGCTCGACCGGGTGCAGAAAGTCACTGGAGAGTTGGACGCTGCGGAGTCGGAGCATACAAGGTTGGTTCGCATTCTCAATGAGAAAACGGGTGGATCGGTTCCACCACCGTCGGTCATCAGCATCGACGACATGATTTCTAGAGCTGCCACGGAGTTGGCTATCTCTTTGGGATCGCTTGCTGGAGATCTTTCAGACGAGTATGAGGTTGACGAGATCACACAGAAGGAGGCCAAGCCGCGTTTGGAGAACCTTCAGTCGGAGATTCGCGCAGCGGTTGCCAATCTTTTCGGCGAGGCGTCGGAAAAGGTCAAGGCCTTCAAGTCAGAACGTTCGGAGGTCATCAATCGTCTTCAGAAGAAGCGTCGAGCAGGGGGGTCAGGGGGCCCAGTTGTCGCCCCTGGAGGTGTGTGCGTGTGTGTGTGTGTGTGTGTGTGTGTGTGTGTGTGTGTGTGTGTGTGTGTGTGTGTGTGTGTGTGTGTGGTGTGTGTGTGTTGTGTGTGTGTGTGTGTGTGGTGTGTGTGTGTGCGTGCGTGTGCGTGTGTGGTGGCGGTGGTGGTGGTGGTGGTGGTGGTGGGGGGGGGGGGGGGGGGGGGGGGCCTTGCGGACGCAGGTGGGCGCGGCGAACCTCCTGCTCCTGAGAGCGGCAGCGGTCCAGACAGGTCCAGGCAGGTGCGAAGGCGCCGCGAGCGCCTAACGGCCCGCAGGCGCCCGAGGGGGGGGTGCTTTTGTTCCCAGGTTTCACGTACTTCGGCCTAGGGCCAACTATAAATTCGTTTTGGTCTGAGCTCACCTGGACTAGGATCTTGGTTCAGGATCTCTTGGGATCGTCTCGGTTAGGCACCCAGGCCCTGGGGTCGAGCACCCCCTCCTCTCCTTCGGACCCCCCCCCCTCCTTCTCGCCAGGATCCGTCCTCCTCTTTAGCCCTGAGTTTTGAAACGGCCAACGTTTCTGGGGGACTGGTCATTTCTGCCCATGTTGTGCTTATGCAAGAGCGCCGCATTCTGGCGGGAGGGGGTCCACAAAGCTAGTGCCTGGTCGACTCGGCGAGGTTGGCGAGGCATTTGGGGCCCTGCGGCCCCTGGGGAAGGTTCTGGGAGCACTGGCGGGGTGGCGATCTTCGCGAGAGACTTCCTGGGCCTCCACCTCAATCCTGCTCAAGGGACCCAAGAATCTAGGGTGATCTCGGGTATCGTGGGCATCCCAGGTGGCACTGAATTCTGTGTTACCTCGGTCTACCATTATGACAGCAGCGGTTTCGACTCCAAGAATCAGCATCTCCTGTCCGACGCGGATATGGCTGCTTCCAGTTCATGCTTACCGTGGCTCATCGGCGGTGATTTCAACAACTCCCCGAGTGATTTTCACGAGCATAGTTTTCACCAGCAGAGTGGGGGCATTATTTTGTTTCCAGATTGTTCGGGTACCTGCCTCACCACGGGAGGGATGAGGATGAACGGTTACTTGATGGCCAGTCCTGGGCTAAGTTCCGCCGCCCAGGTTTTGGATCGCATCTCCGATGCTGATCTCTCGCCCCATTGGCCCGTTCGGCTCACTCTCTTCCTTCAGTTCGGCAAATTGAGAGCCCTCAATTTGAAGCGACCCGCTCGGTTCCCCGCCGTTCGGATGATCGGTCCTCTGCGTGAAGCCCCTGACTACCATTCCACTCAGGCGCGGATCGCGGAGGCTCTTGAGGCGGCTCATCGCGGCGACGGCCCCGCCGCCCAGTCACTCCCCACCTCGCCCTACCAACTCTGGGCGGACCTGGCGGAAAAAGAGATTGCGGAAGCGGCGGGAGTTGATCTGAAGGACCCTGGTTCCCCTGGGCCCCCCCCCCGTCTTTGGTTTGGTCCTCGGTCGCGGCGAAAGACGCGAGGCCTTCCAGACACCCGGAGCTGCTCTCCATCCGATGGCTTTGGAAGGCCACGGGCATGCTTGAGTCTGCCATTCAGCACCCCGATCAGGACGGCCTCTCGAACGCCATTGCCTACGGGTTTTCGATCCCCCTGGCTGTCAGCCAGCGCGCGGGAGACTACGAGCATCTCTTCCGTGAGTTGTTGAACTGGTGTCATCGCTCCGCTGACACTATCAACGCCCTTCGGAAAGGATTAGAGTGCGGCATCAGTGTTTTTCGGTCCACCGTCCGCGAGGCCCTGGATTCGGTCCTCAAGAGGAATCGGCAGGGGGCTTCGCAAGGATGGAGGAGTCGGCTTTTGAAAGGGGTTGGCCAAC